ATCGTCTACTATAAATACGATAGCTGTGACAGGTGTTGCCAAGAACTGAGTAACACCAATCACATAGGCCTTAGCTTGTTTTCTATTTATGGATACTCTGTCAAATGAAAATAGTAATTTATTTCAAAGTAAGCAACATGTGGACAAAAATGGACAATGTTAATGTGTACATGTTTTGTCTTTGCACTTATCTTGATCAAAATCTGTCTAGGCAAGTCTGAGAATGACGATGGATACACAAACGCACACGCACACGACCAGACCAAAATTATGAATTCATTTACACTGTTTTGTAATAAATTCATCACAGTTATGGTAGATGTCAATAATCAATTGACTGGTGAGTGTGGTGTTATTCAGAATTCACCAATCTACACTTCTTTCATTCAAACTGAATATTTTACAGATCAGAGCAGCAGCATATGCTGTAAAATTCTTTGATTTAGTTTTCACAATATTTTGTTCACCTCCCAGCATGCATCAGAAAAGTATTCAGAATCGCATTGGTGAATGGTAACAAATAATTAGTTGAATAATGCTTGTCCAGTCAGCATTATTGTTCAGAACAACCATTATGATCTTCCTTTACCGTTATTTTAGAATTTATTTTTCAAATTCTGTTCATAAAATCATAAACAATGGTGTTTAACAACCTGTTTTACATTTTTTCCTTTGGATGCACATCTTCTATAGAAAAAACATAAATGTATCAGGATAATTAAAATGTGACTTGTTTGACAATAAACACACCACTGTCATTTACATTTTTCTTTTTCAATGTGATTAAATAATAACATGTTTGACTTCAAACCAAGCTGCCCTCAACCATACACACATGTGCACAATTTAACTTACGGTAAGTCTCATTTGGTAATCTGATTGAAATAAAGTGAGCTGTTAATTTTAATTAATCAAAGTCTTAAAAGATGTATGGAACTTTTAGCCTACCTATCAGCAGTAACTCCTCCAAGTAAAGTCCCAAATCCTCCACCAAAAAGAACAATAAGTGCCAGGGTACCATTGTATTTGAAAGGCTGTATGTGATATCGTCTAGCATAATATGTTGATAACCAAGAAGCAAGGGCATATCCTGCTATCTGACGTACAGATGACGCAAGACAAATCACAAGAAAAGGTTTTGATTTGAAAAGCTGATGTACTGTTTCCTATAGAACAAAGGTATCAAGGTTAGACAAATACAATTTATTAGGCATTCATAACCATGCATTAACAAACGAGTATAGAAATCATATATCTGGATGCTTCATTGTAACTAGATATGTGCGCATCACACTTTGATATGTGCGCATCACACTTTGATATGTACGCATCACACTTTGATATGTACGCATCACACTTTGATATGTGCGCATCACACTTTGATATGAGCGCATCACACTTTGATATGTGCGCATCACACTTTGATATGTACGCATCACACTTTGATATGAGCGCATCACATTTTGATATGAGCGCATCACATTTTGATGAGCGCATCACACTTTGATATGTATGCATCACACTTTGATATGAGCGCATCACACTTTGATATGTGTGCATCACATTTTGATATGCACACATCACACTTTGATATGTGTGCATCACACTTTGATATGTGTGCATCACTTTGATATGTATGCATCACACTTTGATATGTGTGCATCACATTTTGATATGCACACATCACACTTTGATATGTGTGCATCACACTTTGATATGTGTGCATCACACTTTGATATGTACACATCACATTTTGATATGTGCGCATCACACTTTGATATGTGCGCATCACACTTTGATATGTGCGCATCACACTTTGATATGTGCGCATCACACTTTGATATGTGCGCATCACATTTGATATGTGCGCATCACACTTTGATATGTACGCATCACACTTTGATATGTGTACATCACACTTTGATATGTACGCATCACACTTTGATATGTACACATCACATTTTGATATGTGCGCATCACACTTTGATATGTGCGCATCACATTTTGATATGAGCGCATCACACTTTCATATATACGCATCACACTTTCATATGTCCACATAACTTTTTTTGCTACAGTACTGTAAATATAAAATAAAAAAAAAATTTTCACAACATACCAGACCAGAGCCAACTTTTTTTTGCACAATACCTTTAAAGAATTAGGCACTGGTTCTGGTAAAATTCTCTCCTCTGGTTGTGGATCCCTGATAAAGAGTACTACAAGCATAACTGTTAAAAAACCAAGAAATGCCAAAATAAAGAATGGCCATCTCCAGCAAATAACATCATTGGCTGCTGCTGCAGCATAACCAATGGCACTACCTACAAACAAAACATAATAACAGAGTTTATAAATAGATAAGAATTAGTATAATTTCCAATCTAATTCTATTTATTTTACCGTACTTATCCGGGTAAGATCCCATGCCTGGACAAATGCCCACCATCCACTTTTGACACAATAAAGAAGTTGAGGTCATATCTGGGCACACGCCCAGGGGGTCTTTTTCTACACAAAACATAATACAAAAAAAACTATTTTCTATTCGTTGACTGTGGTTGTATTAACAGTTGACATTCTTAAAGTCTGTTGTGATACTTATAAAAATTGTTAATTGCGTAAAACAAGGGGTGAATGCAAAATAGCTGTGACAGCTTTCTGCCTTCAGGGCAGCGCGTTCACCGCTAATTTTTTTCAGAATCATAACAGTCAGCAAGTCTATAAAAATAAATATTAAAGCAGAAACGGTAGTTCTCTTTTTGAAATATGTCGTGGCCCTAAAAAGGGCAGGCCGTTTGGTTTGTGCTTCCTTAGAAACGATTCAAG